TGTAAGTCCAGTTTGTTCTTAAATATGAAAGACTGTTTATTTGGCTGCTATCTAAGGCAGTGGATCCCAACCTTTTTTTGGCTTATGAACCCCTTTGCGCAATTTTTCTTACAATAAGTTCCCCTCTAAGTCAAAAGTATTGATGATTTTCCAAAAGTGGAACATACAATAACTGATTATAAAATAAAAATGTTCCATAATCTTTTAACTTCTGCATTTAATTATTACGCATTTAATTACTTTAATCTCAAATAAAAAAAAAAAAATCAACAAAAATATGTTACCTTGAAGTTAGTAAGGAATCTAAATAAATATATAATCTAATCATATTACAAACCTGTTTTTATAAAACTGGAGGTCTTCTGAGTAACTCCCCTAATCACATTCAAATTTGATAAATTGGGAACAGAAATTAATATTAAGAACTCATGATTTCCTATTTACTGTCAGCTGACTCCTTTCGCCGGTTTTCTGGCGTGTCTGGCTTTGCAATTCACAGATCTCTTCACCTGGATCACCTGGTCACACAAACTTCTCAGCCTATTAATAATAAATGGCATCAAAAGGGCATGGTGCAACCTGGGATGATGTTGAAACCGAGACTCTCATTCAAATTTGTGCAGAGGACGCTATCCAGACACATAAGATCCTGAATGTTATGACTGCTGCCATTTTTGTGTGCATAATTTCCGCCTTGAGTATCATGGACGACCGATAGGAGGTGGGGAACCGTACTAGCATGATGTGTAAATGGTTGTAAGAGCCAAGCCCGGCACAGTTAACTAATCCAAGCTCGGTCCGAACTCGGCAAAGATTGGTTTCAGAGGGCTAGGGTAAATGGAGCATATGATTCAGAAGGAGCGACCGTAGTGACTATATTTTCATGCGATTCAAACCGAGTTGAACGCAGTGTTTCGTGAACCCGCCTGCTGAAGCAAATGAGAGAGAGCTATCCAGCTCTGGTCGACCTATATCTGCTCTTTGCGGAGAAGCCGTTAGAAGCCGCTGACCCATTTCATACTGTTTCTGCCACTGCCTGAAGCTGTGCTGCCTGCCTGATTTGTCACTATCAGCTAACTCTACCAGCAAAAGTGAGATATTCCATTTCAGGCTACTGTAAGGTAGGAAATTAAGCCAGGCAAAGTTGTCTCCTTTTTGCATCGGATTAATCCAAATCTCTTTGAGGGCTGCTGTTGGACAAACAAACTGGATCGAAGTCCCTTCCACTCAACCGAGCCAAAATAGTAACATCCATCCTTCCCTCTTTCCATCTGATGCTTGATAAGTGCTCTGCTTGGGTGAACTACAGTAGGTGGAGTAGATAATTGTGTATGTGTTTGTGTTTTATCTGAAAGAAGTTTTCTGATTCAGCTACTGATGGTTTTAAGAGTTTCTAAAGCGAATAATGCTAATGATCACTGAGAAGACTGAACAAACAATTTGGTGTTACTATCCTATTAGGAGAGATTGTTGCAGTGTACTGGCTATCATAGTTAGCTCCCAGCTACCTCATCTCATGTAATCCATTTCTCTTTCAGCTTCATTACAGTTTATTGCATTACTGAATCACTGTTCAATTTTCACTGTAACTGTACTTTTCACTGTACTGACTGGATTTCACATATCTGCGTCGAGGTTCATTCACATTTATCTGCTGCTATTTTAAATGCCTTAAAGTGGATCATTCCTTATAGACTTCTGGATGGACTTTTAAACCCCTTTTTCCTCTTTTTAGAATTCATTTGCGCTTATTTCCAGTGCTGTTTAGTGTCTGCATAGTTATTAGATATAATAATACTATGATAGGGATCATTAGCTAATAAAGGCACCATTGTATTTTAACCCCTGCTATTTTGTGTTTGTTTTATGAAGTGAGCAGTTTATCACTAATGCTGGATTAACCCTTCTTTCAGTAACATCTGAATAAACAAAGTCTGATTTCTTTGGTTGGTGATTAATTACTCTGCTGATAGCAGTAGTCTAAATTACTGAATTCCAGGAGTCCATCCATTTATGTAAAAAGCTAAGCATTTATATTAATATTAAATTATATTACATTATATTAAATAAACTAATAATCAACTAATAACTAATAATCAATAATTAGTTTTACTCTTGATTTGAATGACCTATTTATTAACTAAAACTTCTAGTTCTAGATATTTAATATATTAAAAATCTTCTGGTAAACTTGCACAACATAGTAAAAAGATCATTTATCTTGAGCCTTCAAGAAACACTTACAGCAAAGAATTGTTTCAGACCCAGACCCAGATTTGTTTTCTCAATAATATAACCTTTTCATACTGTAAAGAATATGCCACTATCACCAGGGGCCAGATCAGTTAAGTGACAAGAAACAGCAGAAGGTTTGTAAACAAACACTAGGATGGATGTCTTATTTTTTAGATGTGAAAAAACCTACCTTGGACCTGTAGCTCTGCTTCTGACACCAACCCCTCTGCATCAGCTGTCACCCTGCCACTATCTGAAACCATGCAGTTGCTGATGCATAGCATGTGGCACAGCCCATTGCAGGATATGACTGTACGCTCATTTCCAGCCATCTCCTTGCCATTCAAGCGCCAAACCAACTTAGTGTCAGCTGGTGAAACCACACACTTAAGGATAGCATCTTCCCCTTCACAGACGGTGATGTTACGAAGCTCAGCTATGAACTCGACAACACGGGGGGCTGAAAACCACCAAATTCTGTTAGAATTCATTTTACTTTAGGGTTAGATTTACTCTAACCTGGTTGGAAAACAAATCGGAAGCTTACTTACTTTCGATTTTGACAGTGGCAACTGTTCGATCGTCTGTAGATTCACAGACATATTCTCCAGCATCTTCATCCATTAGGTGGTGGATGGTCAAGCTTCGCTCTCTGCCTTGTGCTCGTATTGTGTATCGTTGACTGGGAGCTACTTCTTTACCACCTTTAAGCCACTGGACATCACCTTTGGGCTTGTTGACCTCACATTGTAATGTAAGATTTTTACCTCTCAGCGACACCACATCCTCTAGCCGTTTAATAAATTTCACCTTCATTTCTAGACATAAAGAATAACAATATTATATAATGTTTACAGTTCTAAGAAGCAATTTGTTTATTATGTCACTTTAAACAAGTCTTACCTTTGACTAAAAGACTGAAATACATTTCATCTGTGCTTATGTCACAGACATATTCTCCAGAATCCGACAGCTGCAGAGGATTAATGGTGAGCTTATGAGTTTTACCCTCACTGGAGATGTGAATGTTGTCCTCATTCAACAGCTGGCCATCTTTCAGCCAACGGACATTAGCTCTTTCATCGCTCACAATGGCACACAGTGTGACACTCTCATTTTCATAGGCGGAGATATTATTTTTTGCCTTTTTATTAATAAACTTGGCTGGAAGGTCTGAGGGAAACAAAATAGAAGTTTCTCAGAAGTTCATTCTTTTCAAATTGTGTTCTTCAGATCAATTTCCTTTTCTTCCTAGAACAGGCTTTCCTCAGGAGTGAGGAACAAAGACACATTTCTATACAGTAGGTCAGCATTGTTTGTATTTGGCTTGAAGTGAAGAGAATGTGATCTTTAAAATGGCATTAGAAAAGAATGCAATTCATAAAAATCTGTCAAATTGAAAAACTAAAGTTTGAAAAAGTGAAAATATAAATGATTGTAAAGAAAAAAAAAAAGTAAATTAGAGAATCACTTCATTGATGGATTGCATTTTTTTCTTCAAATTTCAATATTCCAGTAATAAAATGTGTTCTTTGCTTGCAACAATAATGGAACAGTATTCACACCATGTTTTTAATCAATAACTATTTTTTTCCTAGTCATCAACCACATGTCTCACCTTGCACCTCCACAATTGTGACTAACTTGTCATCCATTGCATCACAGATGTATTCTCCTGAGTCTGAGCGCTGAAGTCCAGAGAGGACAAGCTTCCTCACAACATCATAGCTATCGATTTTTATGCGATTGCTAGGTTTGAGTATCACCCCATTTCGTATCCACTCTACCACTGCATTTGGTCTGGACACTTCACACTCCAGAATAAGATCATCTCCGGCTACCATCACATGATGCTCTGGATTTCCTGAGTTCCCAATAATCTGCACTGGAGGTTCTAAAGATGGAACACAGTCGCATTAACTAAGGTATGGAAAAAAAAACCCAAAAAATACAGTGTGGATTTGTTAGTATGATTACCTTTCACAGTGATGTTAAAAGACATCTTATCATCCCCTGCATCACAGGTATACTCTCCTGAATCTTGAAGTCCTGCATTAAGGACAACCAGGGAGCGAAAAACATCTTGCTCTTCGCAACAGTATTTCTTGGTGTCATCAATAAGCTGGTTATCTTTGTACCAGCAGACTGATGCGTTGGCTTTTGAGAGTTCACACACTAGAATAATATCATCTGAAACTAAAAACTGTTTTTCTGTCTTTGCATCAGATTTACCAAGAATTTTTACAGGCAATTCTGTAAAAGAAGCAGAAAATTGTTATATTATTACTCTGGCTGTCAATGATATAAAAAGAAAATAGGTTATCTTCATTTTTTTTTTGGTTCTTTATTAAAGGTAGCCTTTGTGCAAGGTAATTAGAAAGAACTTTAATGCAAAGGTTTTATTTTTCAGTTGTGCTCCATTAAAAAAATAAATTACCTACCTTGCACTTTAACGTTGAAATCCATAACATCATCTTTTGCATCACAAACATATTGGCCAGCATCCTCCTGTGTTACAGAATGAATAGTCAATTGACGTGTGATGCCATCTTCAAGGATTGTGACTTTTCTCGAGTCCTCGATTTCTTCCCCGTTTTTCTTCCATGTTACTTCAGCGTTTGATCTTGAAACCTCACAGTCAAGAACCAGAGTCTCACCAACTACTTTTTCAACTCTGCTCGCCATCTTCCTTGGGCGTATAAAACGAACAGGAGGCTCTGTTCATAAAAAATAAACAACAACAAATCGCTGTAAAATAAAAGCATTGAAACACTTAAATAATTGAATGTCCTTTGTTATTTATTTACCTGCTATGTTAACAAAGAATGTCACAGATTCATCTCCTGTGTCACATACATATTCTGCAGAATCTTTGACAGTGGTTTCAGGTATAATAAGTCTTCTGTAGACACCATCCACCTCTAGAATAAGATTCTCACTTTCCTCTACCTCGAGTCCGTCTCTATACCACCGCACCACAGCGTTGGACCTTGAGATCTCACAGCTCAGCACCATCCGTTCAGAGGTTTGCTGACACAGCTCCATTTGGGTCTGACTTGGGGATATAATTTGCACCGGAGGTTCTGGAAATAGACAAAAAAACCCTAGATTAATGCTTCTTTACGAAATGAAGGCAAAGTTGGAACTGACAAAAATTTCCAGTATTTTAATTTCCACATATCAAACAAAAAGATCCTTAGTCTTCACCCCATGTAAAAACCTAATACTGCCCCCAGACAAATGTTTAAAAATGCCACCAAAGTGATTGTTGCGAAAGGCAAAGATACGCTGTATATTTCAATCTTTGTACTCAGCTACAGCTCAGAATGTGTGAAGAAAGTCAGGATTTAAAAGTTCACAGCTCCCGATGTATGTTTTTACACTGTATGGCCAGATGCTCTGAAGCGATCTAACTGCTCTCACTGTACATTCAAAAACCACACGTCCAACTCAGCGCCGAGGGATGATTTGACTGAAAAAAAAAACTATTCCCCTGTTTGCAAGGTTTGTCTTAATTGGTTTGTAGTCCCTTGTAGCTCTGCTTTAAGAGCAGGATTTGCTCAGGAACACCTCACAAGGGCTTAGTGAATTTCAGACATTTTCCAACGACCTTAGGATCCCTGATCGGGAGGTGGTCATGAGAGGCTAATCCCCCCTTGTTACTAGGGATGGAATGGTTTATGAAAACCGTCCGAACCGTTCGGTTCGACTGTCTCGGTTCGCGTGTGTTGCTTTTGGTTCATGCGCTGCTCCTTTTTCTCATAGGCGAAGCATGTACACTCCAGAGCAGAAGGTGGCGGTACTGCGACCAAAGCCAACCACCAGTAGTAAACAAGAAGAAGAAGAAGAAGCGAAGCAGCGTAGCCGGGTGTAGCAGAAAAAAATCAATTGCTGTGGAGAATTGTGTGGGTATGGCGAGTGGGAAAGAACAGGAGTTGGACTTATACTGTACGTTTGCTGTATGGGACCACTTTACATTTAGAGTGACCTACGATGACGGCGGAAAGAAAGTTGTGGATAAGAGTGCAACAGTGTGCAAGCATCGTGCAACACGTTTTGTTTATGCTAACAGCAACACGACCAACATGTCAGGCTAACAATCAACATATGCCGAACCAAACCGAAAACCGTGACCACGAAACCGTGAACCGAACCGTGGATTTTGGGAACCGTTCCACCCCTACTTGTTACCCCGTATATACTACACGATACAGGACGCACAATGAGGCTGAAACCCAGCCCTTTCCCAAAAATTGACAAACAACTGGAGAATAAGCCCAAAAGGGAAAAAACTCCAACAATGTATGTAGCCTTAAGAGTCCCTAAGGGACACCATTAACCTTGGAGATGACAGAGAGATTTTAAAGGTCTTCCATGGACAGATCTCCTGAGGAGGAAATTTTTTCTAACCTCTTTTAACATTGGAGGTTAGTTGAGGCTCTGTGGCCAGAAGTCTTGATCTTAATTCATATTTTTAATCTTAATTGTCTGCTTCAAGGTACTTTGAAATGACTGAGGCTGATTGGCCCAAGGAAGGGGAGTATGACTAATTTTTGACCTGCATGTCTGAGTTGTGTTTATGTCAAGTTATGATGATCGACAAATTCCTGCACTTATCAAATAGATGTCTAACAGTATATACCAGTTTTTGAGACAAACATTACAGAACTAAAACACATTTCTAATGAAAATGTAAAACAATACAATATAACAGTATAAAAGCACCCAACAGACCAAGTTTATCGAGTTTAAATAAAAATGAATTTTGAGGTCAGGTTCCTTTCGTATGAATTGAGGTTAAGTGCTGGACCCTAAAACAACTGAGATGAAATGCAATAGCATACACCAGAAACAGCGAATTTTATAACCACAAAGGTGCAAATAAACAATCTACTTTAAATAAAATATTTTGTAAACCACAAATGAAGAAATTAGTTTCCTTAAGTTTAGCAGTAGTTAGTAGAGCAAAAATTAAGAGAATATTACATCCATTTAGCAGTTTACCCATACTAAAGCAAACTTTTACGGTAGATCTTTTAGACTTTTAGAAACTTTTAGACTTTTGTTGTCCCAAATGTATCTGGTGCTGGTCATAATAAAGGATGATAATAAATATGAACTTAAGACAGTGATGTATGTCTCTTGGCTTACACATACACTAGTGCATTCAGTGAATTGGACATTGAATATTTCACAAAAATCACATGTTCTGTTGTTCTGTTATGAAATGTGGTTTATTCCTTTTCAGCTAATCAACTTAAAAATGTTCCATGGCTAATATTAGATTTATCTTCATTATATGTAGGAGAGAGACACAGACAGTAACAGTTTGAACAATAGAATAACTGTCTAGTCCTATAGGATAAATTAAAAATTTATTAAAGTAACATGTTTGCATTTGCTATGACATTTGCATGCTTTGTGGGGATCCTCTCTGTTTAGTGTAACCTTTTCTATTGTTTTAAAGGTGTTGTGTAATTTTAACCACAAAATAAGCTTTATTTGGAAGGCAACCGAACTTTTGCTCAGTTTATTTTTTAGACATTTCAACACCTATCATATTGGAATAATAAAATGTGACCCACTAAACTTAATACAACACCTTTATACTAATCTTAAATGTACTTTTCTTTTATTAAGCAAATAAGTTTATGAAACAAAGATAGGTCTGGGGATGTGGAATGGTTATAGCATACCCTACATATTATCGGCCAGTGATTGATCACCTGGCTACTTTTTTGCTCTCATAGATCCTTGACATTTTATTGACATATAGTTCTCAATTTGATATATATGAAAGATTAATAAATGTAATCAAGTGGGTGGCATTCCTGAGATTAAAATACCTGTTCTTGACACATGTGAACACTGTTCTCTACACTTGACAAAAGAAGCTCCATTAAAAGCTGAGACATGACAGGACTTGATGTTGAGGAAAAACATCCCAAATATCCTGAGGCATAAACCCACATAAAATCTTAAGGAAAGTGCCATCATCTTTCTCCGCTATTAAAATATGTGTAAATTAATAGGTTGATTCTTTTGTAAGTTTTTCTAGTGAAAAAGTTGACAATGGCATTGAAAAGTGAAAAAGTATTTTTTTGAAACTTGTGGCATTTCTTAACAGAAATTATACAGTGAGAGGCTGCATCAAGGACAGATAACCCCTTTAGATGATGCCTGTTACACTGCAAGACCTTGTAATGCACCGAAGCACTGCATAATAATAAAAAAAAAACATCCCTAAAGAGAATTGCAAAAAGTCAAGAAATTTACCTGTAATATTAAGATGAAAGAATATTGAATCATCAGCTGTGTCACAGACATATTCCCCAGAGTCTTCAACTCTACTTGAACAAATCCTCAGTCTTCGGTAAGGGCCTTCTGTCTTGAGCTTGATGTTCTCACTCTCTTGAAGCTTTTGGCCATCCTTAAACCAGCCAACAACACCATTAGGACGAGACAGTTCACAGCTCAGAATAATTTCCTCAGGGACATGACGGTCAAGGTGGACATCTTCCTTGGGGTAGACTATCATCACAGGAGGCTCTTTGAATGAAGAGAGGAACATTAACAAGTCATATACGGTAGAAATGTGTTCTTCCCTAAAATAAAGGGAGGTTACAATGATTTTCCTCTGAGAATCAGTTTAATGTGAGGTGGTTTATTACCTCTGATGGTGACCTTAAATATTAAAATGCTATCTCCTGTACGGCATGTGTACGTGCCGCTGTCAGACAGTTGAGCTGCACTTATAATCAGATTCCTCTTTGCGCCCTCTGCTTCCATTCTGATATTACTGCCTTGTTGTATTTCAGCCCCATCTTTGTACCACTGGACAACACCATCAGTCCTTGATATTTCACATGACAGAACAAGCTGCTCTTGTTCCACAGCACTACGAAAAAGGTCCTTCTCTGGGACATCAGCAAATGTTACTGGCGGCGCTGTAAAAAAAACATAAAAAATGCAAGTTTTTCCTTCAAAGGGGAGTTATACAGCTTTTCTTAAACATGCAACCACTGTAAAACCAAACTTAGACCAAACATGAACATGCTAATTTCAAAATTTGCTATGTAGCAGCTTATAACAGTATGATAATCAGTGGGTGTTAATCTTCCTGTAAAGCAAACTAAAAAAGATTTTTAAAGCAGTGCACTGATGTAAACAGAGCGGTTAAAACATTAAAGGTCATGGATGCTTTTCTCAGCAGCTTCAATGACATAGAGGGCATTTAGGAGAAAGTCTGTTATGTTTATGGGGATGATCATGGTTTGCTTTCTTATGTATTAAAGGCCATGGAGGTGGACACAACTGAAGAGTGGAATTAACTTGCCAAGAAAAAACTTAGCATATCACCTTTCACCTTGAAATCTTTATCACCATCATCATCATCATCATCATCATCATCAGCTTTATAATGAAAAACCCCAGAGTATGATGACAGGGCCGCCTCCATGACCAGAGCTCCTTCATTAGGCTCTGATTCCAACTCTACATTCGATTTCGGCAAGAGTTCTATCCCGTCCTCATACCAGCGGGTCTGGACTGCAGGGTCTGAGATCTCACAATGCACTTTGATCAGGTTGTCTGCCTCAACAGAACTGCCCTTCTCAGCCTCTGGAACAGCTGAGAATCAAACCCATACTAAAGGACTTTCATTTCATTCAGGGAAAACCAGTTAGCATTCAGATTGGTGGTGACGTGTTGGCTAAGAAATGAATTTATATACCAGGGTTTATTTGCTTAATGGTAAAACACACCAGGATACAGAAAACAACAAGGGATATAGGAAGGCTGAAAGTAGTATTTCAGTACTGTGCTAGTCCCATGTGAAAACCTTTTCAGTGCTCAAATGTGTTAGTAGCTGTTTACCAGGCAGACAGAGTAGACATATCATGCAATTACAAGTTTGTTTGTCTGGGATAAAGTCTTAGTAGTTAAAAAAAAATTTATATCTTAAAAACCGTGAAGGATCTTTAAATATCAAGAATAAAAAATGGAGCCCTTATCTGCTCTCAAGGGATGGATAATTGTTAAATCCCAATTTTGCAACCTATATTAGCAAATAAACGGTAGATATGTCTCCTTTTAGAGACATTAGAATTTGGATCTAAATATGAAAAAGTAACCCATTACACTGACGACTACACCTTGATATGAAATATACATTTAATTATCCATACATCCATTTTCTGACACGCTTTATCCCGAGTGGGGTCACGAGGGGTGCTGGTGTTTATTTCCGGCAGTCTACGGGCGAGAGGCGTGGTACACCCTGGACAGGTCGCTAGTCCATTACGAGGGCAACACAGAGACAAACAGGACAAACAACCATTCACACGCAAACTCACACCTAAGGAGAATTTAGAGAAGCCAATTAACCTAAAGGTCATGTTTTTGGACTGTGGGAGGAAGCCGGAGTACCCGGAGAGAACCCACACATGCTCAGGGAGCGCATGCAAACTCCATACAGAAAGATCCCGGGTCAGGAATCAAACCCGCAACCTTCTATCTGGAAGGCAGCAGTGCTAGCCACTGCCCATACATTTAATTATCTACTACAAAACCAGACCAGAATAGATTTAATTCATGGTTGAATTATTTTTCTCCTTGGCACCTAGAGAAATTAGTCAAATCTGCACCACAGGAAGACATTATAAATCTCATTGATCAACTCATACTGGATTAACAGTTTATGTATTTTGGCTTTGTAATTTTCGAGAGAACCACTAAAGCTCTGTGTCTCTCACCATATCTTTTACTTTTTACATTTCATAACATAGTTATTAACAAAAAAATGAGTATTTATTAAGGAACCATTTTCTTTTTTTATTCCTTAAGAAATGGTTGAATTTGGATGTGACATTTTAAAAGTGCAGCGAGCGGGTGTGTGTTTAAAAGGGACATAGGGGGTGGGATCATGTCAGAAACTGGTAGTTCCCAACTGAGTCAGAACTAACTGAAAACTTAAACTAACTAACTGAAAGTCAGAAAAAACAGTAAAGATCAGCAAACACAGAACCCATAGAAGCTTATACTGTAATGGCATGGCAAGGGTTGGAAATGGGTTGGCATTTTTGGTTTTATCTACAGTAAGACTGGTTGGTCATGTACAGTATGATGTTGGAAATCCAGATATCACACTAGTGATGTTGAAAGAAATGAATAAATTAAAGGGTGTTACACAAATGTTTTCACTTTCATCCTGGTTTTGGTTAGAGACCCAGACCTTCCAAATACAATTATTCCTCTCTCACAGCAAAGCCATTTGTGAAGATATCATTATAACTAAACTCCTCTAATTGAGTTTTGAGTCCAACCTATAGGAAACAATCCTCATTTCCAATTTAAAATCATGCCTTAGACTAAAGGGTGAGTTATAGCCAAGCTTAGGGGTACAGTGGAGGGCGTGCGATGATGAAGAAATGCCGCTAGCTTTATACATAATGCTGCCATTGGTACAGTAGTTTCTGAAAACAAAGGAGGGCAGTAATCTACATAACCAGTGGAACGACTAAAAACTTCACACACACCAAAAGTGGCTGCATATGATTTCTTATTAACTTTCATGAAGTTTTACAATGATAATAGTAGAAAAATGAAGAGAAAAACATAGAGCTGCGTAAAGATACAAAATCAGACTATAATATGTACAACATAACTCTATTAAAGTATTTTTGATTCTGATTCTGAAAAAAATATCTTGCAAAATTTTTTTTAACTATTCATGTTTTGTTGGTCTATATCCATACATTAAAGTTAAATTGTTCTTGTGGCTGAGATTTAATATACAAAAACATCCTCTATGTAAAGAAAATTTTATTTTCTTTAGCATAGTGTTAAATGAGGTAGGCTACTTATTTATATGATTGCCTGAAATAACATATAAGCCTTCTTTTTATTTTGACGAAGAGTCATTATTTTGAGAAATCGACTACAGAATCATGATCATATTGTATCTAAACCATTGTCTTCACATGGATTATTAACAATTAGTGTTTGTTATAAAGTGCTGTGATTTAATTAGACTTAATTGTCAGGAAGGAATTGAAGTTAGTTATTTTCACAGAGCTCAAAATACTTAGATCACCTGCAACATCCACCTTGAAATTTATGTGGTTATCTGGAGCCTCACAGCTGTAAAACCCAGAGTGACTGACTTCTGCTGACTGAGTTATCAGCGCTGCCAGTTTTTCACTCGTTTGGATTTCATATTCACTTGTTGCCAAAACTTGTTCTCCGTCTTTATGCCAGTAAACTTGAGCAGCTGGCTCTGAGACTTCACACTGTAGCTTAACTGGGCAGCTTGTTCCTACTAATGTGTTTCTTGCAACCTTTGGTAGCTTTGAAACCTTCACAGGAGTAGCTGTGGATATTACAAGATATGTTAAACTTGCATATTCTTTTTAATACTGTCCACATGATAGTTTGGCCAATTAGCACATTTTTTATTTTTCTGCAAGCTATATTAGTCCCTTGATTGAAGTGCCCGATTATAATTGTTGTAAAGATTTGACTGACCAATATTAATCGTAGTAATTCAAGAAAATCACCTTCAATGTTCACATGAAAGGTCACAGCCTCATCAGCAAGACTACAGCTGTAGAGGCCAGAATCAGAGACCTTAGCTGAGTGAATTATTAACTTCCTCAGAGTGCCATCTCGTTTCATATCAAGGCCTGTTTTGGAAAAAAGTTCCACATCATTTTTTAACCATGAAACTTGAGCAGCAGGGTCTAAAACCTCACACTGCAAGATTATTGGAGAACCAATTCTAATCAGCTTGTATTTTTCTGATAGTGGGCTTGCCAAAATCCTTGGTGATTGGCCTACAAGAAGAGACAACAAAGGTATAAATAAGAGATTAATTCTTAAACACTTGACAAAACACATTTTCCTGCCAGCTCGTTTTCACTATAATTAGAAGCAAGCAACACTGCACACAAAGAGAAATCTTTACCACTACCAAAAACAAAAAGAAAGACAAGTATTCACCTTTTATGTCCACTTTAAAGGCAATACTGTCATCTGATGTTGAACACTCATAGATACCAGCATGTATGCTTTGAGCCGATGGGATGAGTAGGGTCCTTGACAGACCATCTGACTTAATTTCCATATTGTCCCCAGAAGTGAGTTTTATGCCATCCTTATACCAGTCGACATGAGCTGAAGGGTCATGAGAGAGTTCACAGTTAAGGACAATAGGTTTCCCTTCTTCAATGGACCGGTTCCTGTCCTCCTCTAGCAGCTTTGAGAACCTCACAGGTACTCCTATAGGTTCTGGATATTGCAAAAGAAAAGAATAAATACAAATATGACTTCCTTAATACAATTTATTGAAGTAAGTGAAGACCAGTTTATTTTATCTTAAATTGACCTACACATCCAAAAGACAAACATTGCTCACAACAACATTTTTGACAGAACAAACATACAAGAAAGAAAGAGACATAAAACAAACCAAAAGATTGTCTAGAAGAGTAAAGCTTGCTGAGATTGTCACATTACAGTCTTCAGAATCACGCAGTTCTTTTAGAACAACAGATTAGAGTTAAGTTGCAAGCAAGAACATATTTTCTGCTTTTTTTTCTTTTCCTCCACACATGTTTAGTAATGTCAAAGAATAAAACCAAGAAATCCAACCTCTTTAAAACAGCAGATATTCATACTAAAGAACTCTATCAAGAAGTAACACTTTTAGTGGAGATTAAGAAAGAACGGATATCATTTTTGTTTTATTTTGTTAAAACAATGTGAGGCCATCTTCAATTTTTTTTAAAGGTTATATGTATTAAAAAAGCAGCATAATAAACAACACTACGTTAAATAATAGAAGTCGGTTAACTCAAGGACCTGGAGTTAATGCTTTGCAAGGCACTTAAAGCATTGTAAGGTTTTCTGTGCGTCACCTTTTACTTCCACAGAGAACTGGATGTCATCATCCTTTGACTCGCACCGGTACACACCAGTATGAGCTTGCTCAGCGGATGGCACAACCAAACTTCTCAAATTTCCCTGTGACTGGATGTCTACTCCACTTTGAGCTAGCAGCTTTCTTCCATCCTTGTACCAATTGACTTGTCCACATGGGTCTGACAGTTCGCATTGTAGAGCTATGGGAGAGCCAGCTATTACTGTCATTTTCTGGTCAGCCTCAGATAAAGTTGCAAATGTCAAAGGAGGAGCTAAAGGATTAAATGTAAAGTATAATTAGTCAGGCATACTGTTATCATCAAATGGACAGAAATATGAACCCTTACCACCAACATCTTTGTGGTATAATACATTAAATTGTGTAAGTGAAGTATAACCACTAATTAAGATTGTATCATCATTATTATTATTGTTCTTGAATTTATGAATTAAAATCAAATACAAAAAAACTCTTTAATAGCTCAGAGCTCTATCCATCTATTTTTTCACTGCTTATTTGATATCAGGCAATAGAGGAAACAGGTCCCAAAGGAAAATCCAGACATCCCTCTCCCATAAATTCTGGACAGTCCAGGCTGCATGTCTAAGCTAGATAAAATATTTATATTCTCCAACTCTTTCCTTGTCTTCCAAATAGTATCCTACCAACTGGACATACCCACAAGGCCTCCAGAGGAAGGGAAACATGGACGGCTTTCTAATCAGAGTCCGAAAGCCGCCTTGTTGACTTGTTTTGGTGTGCAGAAAAAAGCAAATCTACACCATGTACACTAAGTACATTTTGGATGTCAGCTTTGAATGTTAACTCTTAAACTGAGCCCAGTCTCTCAAATGCGAGAAGCTTATTTTGGCGTCTTGCATCAAGATTAGAATAGTTTTGCATTTTTCGCTCTAGATTAGTTTACGCTAAGGAAGTTGTGAGTATCGGTAGTCTTGTTAGAGGGTTTGAAAACTTCAGGGTTTCTCCATATTAAGAAGAGTAAGCTGAGTTGGTCTTAACATCTTATTAAAATCTGGAAGAAGGTCATGGGGCAAAATTCACTGGAATGTTCAATTATGCCACTGTTGGCTTTCTCCATCAAAGGCTAAAGTGTTTATTGGTTAAAAGAATGTCTGGTTGACACATCGAAAACTGTAACTTTATCTGATAAAGCATATTTGATCATTTCAGTGTTATACTTAAAAAAAAAACGGAATATCCTATACAAACTTTTGCATGCTCTGATGGTAAGACTCATGGGTCTCTGGGACATTTGGGTCTGCCAGTGTATATCAGAAACATTTTACAGTATGTGCTGGAACTATCTTTAACTGTATCCTTAATATTCAGTAAAATAGTGTTACATTTATTATTGCTGGGGTTGTGTACTGTAACTCTCCCAGCAACCAATGGAAAAATATGTTTGCTTAAGTACATATATCTTAAAGAAACCTTCCCTGTCCATCCATCCATCCATCCATCCATCCATCCATCCATCCATCCATCCATCCATCCATCCATCCATCCATCCATCCATCCATCAAAAATGGTATCTAGCTAATAATAATATATTGAATGAATGATCACCTTTGACATCCACATAAAACTCCACTGAATCATCTGATGTCTTGCAGCAGTAAATCCCTGCATCAGACAGCATCACTGACTGGAATGCCAATGTTCTGATGGAGCCCTCTGTGATCATAGTTTGCTTGGAATCTTCTGATAATTCTATTCCATCCTTAAACCAGGTTACTTGAGCGTTAGGATCAGATATTTCACATCGTAGCTCAATGGGCTCACCAACTTCAACAGCCTTGTTCTTCTCAGCCTCAGGAAGTGTTGTGATTCTCACAGGCAGGGTTGAGGATGCTTGAAGTAACATCAAGAAAAAGAGTCATCACTATTAGTGACTGTAACAGATTATTCTTTAAAATAGATAAAGAGCAAAAGTTCAAATCAAGATTAGTCATGCCAAAAATATTCTAAAATAACAAAAGAATCATATGATCTTTGATATTAGTCATCGTAAAATAAATATTTGTTGGTTAGACCTTAAATAGCTAGCCAATTGAGTTAGATGTCACAAATTAAATGTATGTAAATATACATGTATATGTGTGTAGAAATGTATGTGTAAATATATGTTCTGTTTTTCCTTCTACATCACCCAAGCTCGGTATAGCCCTATCCATTAAAGTTTTAGTATAGACAAAGTCAGGTGAGTAAAAACAAAGTTTCCTAACATATCAGAGTTTGCAACAAGCAATCTTAAGGAAACACAATGTCAACATTGTGTCCATCTTTGTTTTTATGCTAACCATTGAAGTCACCTTCAAAAGCCACCTTAATAGCAGTTACACTGTCACTCCAATGACTGTCATTTGTTCTCGAGAGAAACATCATCTCTGGCTGTCCCGTAGAAGTCTGTTTGGAATTAGAAAGGTCTGGAAAGTAAGTAGTAGAACTTTCACCATAGCTGCTTGTCTGGTCCATTTGGTCTTCAGTTGTCTCCATGTTTTTGCAATGCTGTTGGACAGTTTTTCGATTACTTGACAGACCTAGAAACTCTGAAAGGTTGGATACTGTCTGTTCTGTGTAAGTAAGATTGTCCAACTTGCCATATGATGTTGACTTAAGATGGTCATATTGGACATTTTGAGGCTTATTATCCGTACACAAATCAAATGATGTTGCATTAAACAAATTCTCTGAGAGTGCAATAAATGACTGTTTGGCTGGATTTGGCTCCTCTGACTGGTGATATGATGTCCTTAAACAGTTATTGGGCCGTGAAACCGGGACATTGTTAGACAATGCACTGTCTAGAAGCTTTCCTGGAAAAGCAGCTGATAGTTGTATGGAACCATAAGCCTTTTCTTGCTGGACAGCAGTGGTCTGTATGGAATGTGAGGTCTCCTCTGATGTCACATTTGAATATTTTAAGGGTTCAAACCATTCCTCTTGTTCAAGAGTTCCATTTTCTGAGAGTGCACAAAAGTTGCCTTCTTGTATTGTTGAAGCCTGTGCGATGCTTGAACTCTCCATCATGGCATTTAAAGTCTTATGGAGGTTACCTGAGTCTAGTTGCTTAGTTGGCTTATTTGCAGAGTGGTTTATCTTCATTGATGAGTCCTCTGAGTCCAGTTCAGTTTGCATAAATTTAAGACAGGATTTCATGGTACTGGAGTCAAAAGTAAAATCACTTGTTGGCTGAGAGGTTGGCATATACTCAGCATCGAACTTATTTCTCCCATTTCCAGTGAAAATGCCAGAGTTGCATTTTGAGGACATCTGGATATCTTGGTCAGAGTACGCGTCTTCTGTAGACTTGTTCCTTTCTTGGTCAGAAGAGAGTCTTGGCGATGTAGCTATAAGCATTGTGATGTACACAGAGAAAGGTTTTCAGTTGTTGGTGTTCTTATTATTTCTTCTCACAAAATACTTTTACAGCAGTGGGGGTTAGCATGAAGTTATGGGATAATCCATTGCAAAGACAATCAAGAAGATCGACCAGGATTGGTCTTAAAGTAAACATGTCTCCCTTTAAAAGACTTCTCATGTACCATCAATACTAATCCCTCTAAAGTAAAACAGAATTATTTGGTTCTCTTAGGAGAAGACTTCGTTGTCATTGCAACGGGCAGAAGATCAGGGTAAAACCATGAATGAAAAGATCTTGAGGTGAATATGACAAAAGATGTACTTTAAGAGTTGCAAGTTGTGAGAAAAGATGACTGTTAAAACAAACAATGAATTGACAAACATAACAAATGTTAGTTGAAAAAGCGGCTACACACCTACATGAAACTATATATTTGATTAAGGGCCAAAATATCAGTGAAATGGCCACATTTCAGGGATGAAAGTATGATAAAGGAAAGAAAAAAAGATTTAGAGATGGCTCAAATGATTGAGCTAACAGTGAAATACACCACTACTGTTAGTGGCATTTATGGGCTGGGTTAACATTGATGACTGATTTTGCAAGATCAAATCACCTTTGACTTCCATAGACTTTTGGGCTGATGCATCAGCTACATCACCAATCTCGTCACCCGAGTGACACTGTCCTGCTGTTTGGACAAAGCCAAAGAGAAAACAGTGAGGTGGTGAAATCTTCATGTATGTAACTAAATTCTTGAGTCTCCAATGTGAAATTACAACAAAGTACAGCACCTTTCATGTCCTCTTTTAACTGTACACCATCAGATGCATCACAGCCAAACCTGTCATTATCAGACAAGTGTTGGGACCCAAGGGGCAAGATTTGACTGTGCTCTTCACTGCCAGCTTCTGTTTTCGGATATATCTGGGTTCCATCTTTGTACCAGCAAGCTTTAGCGATAGGGTCTGAAATCTCAAACTGCTGAACAATTGGATAGTGTTCTTCAGTTGACCTGGTCTTCTCTCCAGGGTCAAGTACATATGTTGGAGGGGACACTAAAAACATGTATTAGGGGATAGGTTCAGTGCATGCCATCCTTATTTCTAGAACACAAACCTTAAGACAATATCTTTCAAGGATGTAGAGAAAGAATTGGGGCTAGGAATTTCTGTAAGAATGAGTCACAGCTACATTATAAATTAACATTTGTATATAAGAAAAAAAAATCACCTTGATTGTCTACTAATAATTTGGTCACATCATTGGCTGTTGTGCAATAGTATGCTCCAGAGTTTGAAGGATGAGCTGGTTCAACAACAAGGGCTTCTTTGATGTCTCCCATTTCAAAATCATATTTCATGCTTGAATAGGATTCTGAATCTCTTTGCCATGACACCTGGCTTGCAGGGTCTAAGCTTTCACCAACTGTTTTTTTTGGACAGGTTTCCTCAAGAGTCTGGGACCCCCCAACCTCCCGGTGGCGAGGCAATGTTGGAGCTAAAGATAGTGATTTAAAATATAACTGGACTGAGTACAAAGTTGTTATTTGCACCCTAAAGAAATGCCAGGCTTTAGGAGCTTTCACAGCTAACTGTCAACTCTCACTCCCACTGAAGGCTTGCATTGCGTTTACATACTAAAAACACATCTTCAATCTGTAAGTAGAGATTAATTTTTGCAACACCTTTTGGACACACATCTTAAGACACAGCATCACATATACATGTACAAAAATGCATTTAAATGTTAGTTATATCTAGTGTCTACGAAGCTTTAGATTTTGCTGGAATACTGAAAAGACTGGAAAAAAATATCACCTTTGTTATCCACAGAGAAGTGGATAGTGGCATCAGTGGTTTGGCACCATTTTCCTGAGTTCAAGAGCTCAGTGGATGGGAAAATGGGTCCCGTTGACGTGCCATTACTTTCTGTATTCCAACCCTTTTGCGGGTAGAGCTTTTTACCATCTTTATTCCGGCAGACCTGGACAGTGGAGTCTGCAACCTCACATTCCAGCTTCAGAGGTTTGCTCACTTCAAGTAACTCGGCTCTCTCACCATCAAAGATAGTTGAGTATGTCACAGGTTGAGCTATCATTGGGAATTCAGGACAACTAAATAAACGCAAAGCTATGGAAATTCACACCTTTCAGGTATATAACTACTGAACAGAAGGTAAAAAGAGCTTTGGAGACCTTAGTTTAAGAGAGAGCCAGAGCAGTTACACAGCAAGGTTACCAATTCTTTATGGTTGTGGGAATAAAGCAGCCATCAAACGACATTTCTCTTAAGCAGGGATAGTTAGTGGCACTTTCAGAGAGGAGGTAGTGGTTACGATATGAAAACGTAAGAAAGGAACTGCAAAGTCACCTTTGATCTCCACTTGAAAATCCACGGTATCATCCTGTGTGGCACATCTGTACAAACCAGAGTGGGAGAGCTCTGCAGACTGAATAACTAATGTTCTTGTGTTTCCCACTGAATGGATTTCTAATCCAAAGGTGGATATAAGCTTCCTTTCATCCTTGTACCAGCAAACCTGGGCTTCAGGATCCAACACCACACACTGGAGTACTATAGGGCTGCCAGCCTCGATCAACTTGATCTTCATATCTTCAGGAATAGCTGAGAACTTCATTGGTGGAGCTACAGATATGTTTAGAGTTTATAACAACCCTCAGTTAACCTTGTTACAGTCATTCAGATTATTATTTTTAATCCTATTCCTGATAACTTAATTGGTAACATGCTGACAGATGAAATAGTAGCTGCACATTTGATGGCAAGGAAAAAGACAACCAAACATCGGACAACACAGAAGAGTATCATAAGAGTTAGTTGATTTGCTGAGTAGGAGTTTGTTACTGTTTCACATCACCTAAAGAGTAATTACATTACCTGTGATCTCCACACTGAAAGTGATGGCATCACCCTTTGTCTTGCAGCAGTACAAGCCAGAGTGTGCAACTTCTGCTGAATGGACAGCCAGTTTCCTCATTAAGCCTTCAGCTTTAACTTCTACTCCATTTTGATGATGGAGTTTTGATCCATCTTTGTACCAGTGCACCTGGGCAGAGGGATCTGAGAGCTCACACTGTAAAACAAATGGCCAGCCTGCTTGGATAGTTTTGTTCCTTTCGGAGTCTGGTACTGCTGAAAACCTCACGGGTGGGGCTATAGAGATTATAAAGAGAAAGATATAATCAATTAAGTTGTAAAAGCTCTGTTTATCAGCTATCCTTATAAAAGTATTTCTATATCTAAGTAAGAAGTTTTAGAGTGGACAACTGACACAGCAATTACTGGATTTATAGTAGAAAGATATCAACATAGAAACTCAAAATCTCTTACCCTCGACTTCAACGTTAAACCTGATTACGTCATCAATAGCATCACAGCAGTACACTCCTGAGTGTGAGAAATCTGCAGACTGGATGACAATTCGTCTCATTGTGCCTTCAGATTGAATATGGAGACCTTCCATACTTTTTAACTCAATGCCGTTCTTGTACCAGTTAACTGGAGCAGCACTGTCTGAGAGCTCACAGTAGAGCACAATCGGGTTGCCAACCTCTACAAACTTGTTTCGATCCATTTCCGACAGTGGTGAGAACTTAACCAGAGGAGCTGTAAATATTGGACAAAAAGAGTATGGCTCAAGATTAAGAGAAGAATCAGTGGTTTCTAACTTTTTAGGTGTAAAAAAAATATTTCCCCAAATGTGCTTAGCTTGTTACAGTTTTTGAGACCTTCCTCTTCCCGTCCTCTTTGTTTCTAAAATAAATCAGGGAGTCTGGGAGCCAAACTCTCACAAATGTTACCCATGCCTCAAATCTCCAATGGCTTTACTGTCGCTCAAATTTATAGCATTTCAAAACAACCTTTCTTAATCCTTTAACTTGTCCTGAATAATCTTTGTTCTTTGCCCTATTCCCTCCTCAGCTAACGTTTTTATATTTTAATTTGGTACAAATGTAGACTCTTTGGGGTCTTTAATACTATAAAGTCAACTGTCAAACTGACCCATACATACCTTGGATGTACAGGGCTGCTGAATCTCGGATGCCATAAGCAATGAATGTTATCTCCGCTCCATTGTCTGTATCACGTACTCCTCGAATACGAAGTGACTGGTGTGTTCTTGAGCGGCGGACAGAGTAACGCTCATCATCTTGAAGCTGCGTACCATTTAAGAACCATGTACCAATAACCGAAGCAGAAAGCTCAATGGTGAAAACAGCATCTTGTCCCTCTGGGACCAAGGCATCCTGTAAAGGAGCTTGAATTCTGGCTACAGGAACTGCAAAGAAAAATTATTTTAATGTGTTTATTCTGATATAGGCCTTAACCACATGTTTGATGACCAGGAAAAGAAGTACCTAGGTGAACAGTTCTTGGAAACTCAACATTATTGCTTTTTCCATATTTATTTACACTACAAATGCGAAAACGATAGTCTGCTTCACATGGAACACTGTCACCAAGGATCTCCACTGAGGTTGCAGAGTCAGTGGTCAGACACTGCAGCCACTCTTGTGAACCAGTGCCTACTTCTTGTCGTTCAAGCACATAACCAGATGGGGGGTTCTTTCGTGAATCTGGAGCAGGAACCCATGAGAGAAGAGCTGCATTAGCGCGCTCTGTGTTGATCTGAACTCCCACCGGACAACTTGGAGGACAATGACGGGCCGCTAAAAGGAAGAAAATATTTGCTTCAGGTAAGTGTTTCGCTTTTCCAAACAGTCTAGTTTATGTGGTGACAAATATTAACAATGGGACCCACCTTTCACTCTTAACTGAGATGATGTCTTGGACCTGCCAACAAGAAAGGTCACAAGGCCAGAGTCTTGGGGCATTGTATTGACAAAAACCAGAATATGAGTTCGACCAAAAGACTTAAGAATGGTCTGATGGGTTTCACGAAGCTCAATGCCATCCTTGTACCAATGTATGTCCATTTCTTCTTTTTCCACTTCCACACAAAAGGCTGCATTTTCACCTTCCAAGACATCCACTTTCCTTGGAAGCTTTCGCAAAATGGTACCTGGAAAGAAAAAAATGAAGATTCACTATATCATCCACCCATCCATCCATCCGACCGACCGACCAATGACAGACCGAAATGTATAATAATTATTGAACTTTATTGATCTCACACTGGATATTGTGTGGATATTTACCTCTGTATATTTCTTTAAGTCTTTGCGGATTCGAAAATTAGGGGATATTTCATCATGCTGAAAATGTATTGTTGAGTGATTAAAAGTACTGCATGTTAAGCCATGTTCATGCTGAAAATGTATTGTTGACTGATTAAAAGTACTGCATGATAAGCCATATTGACACTGCTTATATCAGTACCACTTTGGTTTAAGGCCAGAACACACCAGATATGGTTATGGGTTTGTGCCGATGGAGACAGATCGTTAAAAATGGTAACAATTACTTATAATTTAATTTCATGGGGCTGGTGACACATATTTTCTTCAATTGTGCTTGCACAGTTCTGACCAAGGTAGAGTTCTGGTGTATTTTGATTGGAGATATGCCTCACGTTGAATGGAATGTCATGAGTTTGACAGGAAGAGAGACACAATCACAAAATACAACGCATGCACTGTGGGGAAAATACAAAGTAAAATCTCTGAGTTGTACCATAAACTGATCAGGTTTGTCTTCATATAGGTTTGATGGTAAACATATGTTCTGCATATAGCAAATGGGGAACACTCTGACATAAGGTAGGAGCTTAAGAGTAGAGAAAACAGATTAAAATTACACAGTGATGTTCTTTGATCTTATTGGAGAAGCAACCACATGTTACAATGCACTTCCCAGCTTGTTTATACTGAGGGAATTTGTTGGACATACTTTCCCATGAATACTTAATCTCATTTAAGGGAGCCAGTACAATTTAATGGTGATAGAAAAAAAATAAATATATAGCATCGGAGGTGGTGTAGAGTCAGACAAAAGTAGAGTGTTCCAACATTTAGAGGTACCATGTGAAACCTTTTTTGCTTGTCATATTTCAGAGCATCTTCCTGAAAGGAAAATATTTTTTATCTCAATTGAACAATTGTTGACTACCCTTTGTATATGCTAATTTCAGATTAAAAAGTAAAATTTTTTCTCTGGTCAGTTTTGTCCAACCTTTGGTGACTGGTAAGTGTCTAGCTTTGTACAAATTGTAAGCATCAGTTCAAAACTGGTATCTCCATCTAAATATAAAAAAAGTAAATGAAAACAAGAGGCTTTCATACCTGTGGGTTTACAGAATGTAAAAGGTGCTTTGCTTAATATTAGTCATTCGAAATCACATATAACAAATGTATTTACCTTTCACAGCCACCTCTGCTATACTTCTACCACCATCAGGCATCTCACAGAGGTAAATTCCATCATCATCAACTCCAATGTCACGGATTGTCAATCTTCGTTTTGTTCCCCACTCCTCCATTCCATATTTGGCCCCTGGCTGCAGTCGTCGGTCCTCTAGATACCATGTGATTGGAACAGAGTCTTCTGGAACTTCACACTCTAAAACAGCTAAATCCCGTTCCCAAACTTCAAGGTCATAGAGAGGTTGCTTAAACCGGACAGGTGGCTCTGAAAATAAACACACGTTATAATACTCTTAATTATTGTTTGTTTGTTTGTTTGTTTGTTTGTTTGTTTGTTTGTTTGTT